ACAAAAGTGCTTCACCTGCCATACCAGTCCCTGTTTCTACCCATACCCACCATCTTCTCCGTTTGCCAGGGCTTATCGTTGGCATCTTTTTCTTTTTTTTTGTTCCCATTGGTTATAAGCGTGTCACGAATATGCGGTCGATGGAGCACTTCCTTCCTAGATGCTCATGATGAGTCTCCCTGGAAATATGTCCCATATGTTTCAGAGTGTGGCCCATTGCTTACAGGGTTCTATCCTTCTTATTAGTGGCCCGACCAATGTCTCAGTCTTTCCCTGCTAAGTCCCAGTGCTGAGCTAACACCCATAACGGGCCTTCAATGCTTCCTTGTGCTTTGGAAGGCACTACATTGCAAATTTGCAGCCAAGACAAAATCGGTCTAGGTATCCAATAAGTTTTTGAAGTGCTTTGTGTTTCTTTTTTCCCTTTTTAAAAAGGGCAACGACCTTGAGATACCATGATCGAATTGATTGGCCCTAAGGTATATCAGAATTGTATCTACTTTATGCATCTGCTTTCACTGGAGTTTGAACTCAGGTTTGCATTTCGACAGTTCATAGGTGTACCAACTGAGCTAGGCCAGTTGGTCGCTTACAATGCCTCCTATTGTCTGGCTGGATCCATAATGCCTAAACCTCCTCTAAGGGGTAGGTTAACTATGGGCCTCGTTAGACACTCCTCAGGCGCATAAATCCCCCGAGGAATTCATCGTTCCACTTATCCTCGGGGAAGAAATTGATAAAAAAAAGTGAAAACATTTCCTCGGGGATTCCTTGGGGATTCCTCGGGCTACAGCCATTTCGACGCATTCCCCAAGGAACCTCCCGAGGTCCCTCGAAGGTCGAGCATCCGGAAGAATCGGGGCGTCGACGGCAGCCCTCTCGACGACAATTCTCGAACTCAGCTGGCCCATTTCTGTTCTTGGCGGCCTGTCGACGGACATCTTCGGTCGGCAACGTTCGACGTCATGGAATTGTCCACCAACGGTCACCGTTGGCGGCCTGCCGGCCTCCAAGACGTCGAGAAGGGGCTGTATCACGTCGGTGCCCTCGCCCCCAAGCGGGAAGGCATCCAACGGTCGGCAGATTCGAATACTTCAACCGGCCCTTGCTCTCCTGATTGCGCAGTGTCTTCCACGACGGAATACATTTCCCTTTGTTTGTGGCTATCTGCGATCGACCGTTTGCAACACTATTCCTCGCCGTTTCCTGGACGTCCACCGTTGTCTACTAGCTGCTACCGTCGTCCACGTGTCTTTCATGGCCAACGTCTTTCGGAGGCTGCCGCTGCTGGTGCTGGTCGTCCTCTTGCTCGTCGTTGTAGTTGTCTTCCACGTGTGCATCCTCGGTGGCGTTCTGCGACATGCACGCAGAAGACGGTCTTTAAAGAAGAACGCCAGGATGGAGGGGCGCTAGGCGATCTGCAGGTCTGCAGGGGAGCAGGCTGGGCAAAGCTCGTCGAGTCGTTCAAGGTCGTCGGAGTGGTCTGGGTACGCGCACCCATTCGCTCCGCCAGTGCGTCCTGCAGAATCAGCGCACCCCCCATCGACAACTCCATACACATCGGCCTCAAGGGCTGCTGCATCCCAAGATCCACCCTGTGACGCACACCGTTCGGCCCGACCTCCCATAGTAGGTTGTCGTCGAAGGGGATGCCCTCGTCGATGAGTATGTTGTGCAGAATGCACACGGCGCGAACTGCTGCGGCAACGTGTCCATGTTCGTCTTGTGGGAGCGAAGGAACAACCTCCACATCTCCTTTAGTCCCCCGAAAGCTCTATGAACTGCTCCCCTTGTTGTCTTCTGCTTGTTGTCGAAGTGCAGCTGCGATGGGTGTTGTGCAAGACCGCCATAGGGGACGACTACCCATTCGGAGGGGGGATAATCATTGTTGCCCAGCAAATACCTGTTCGTTTGCACACCGAAAGGCAGCATGACAGGTGGCCCAGTGAAAAACTCCCTTGCCTCCGCGCGCGCCCATAAACTCGATAGGTGGATGATCCCCACGTCGTGGCAACTTCCCGGATAACCAACGAACACGTCCAGCACGCGCAAGTTCAGATTGACGACCACGTGCGCCTGGACGGAGAAACAGCGTTTTCTATCGTAGTAGTCCTCCCCGGAGCAATTCGCTGGCTTGTTGATGAAGATGTGGGTGCAGTCGATGCACCCATGGCAGTTAGGGAAACCCTTGTCGACGAAAGCGTGCAAGACGACCGCCTTCTGCAGCCCCGTCAGCCACGATATCTTGTCGGGGTACGCACTCAGCAACGCCTCAGTTACCATCCGGCACAACCACCAACCCAGAAGATCTGCCAATGCCGAAGCTGCATATCCCTCTCTTGTACGTCTCCCCCGACGCCCACGTGTACAAAGCGTACGCGACAATGTGGTCAGGCTGGAGGGGCTCCTTATAGAAAGTGACACGCCGTTGAAGGAAGGGAGACAGAGCTTTCGCGATCTCTCGGAACACACGTGGCGGCATGCACAAGTTGTCCTCGAAGTGGTCGGCCGCCGCGTCGTCGAAATGCCGCAGATCCTCCCACACCCCCCCTGTCCGTCGCTTCATCCATCACCTAGGCGTCGCTCTGGGAAAGCTCCACACCCCATGCCGTAGCACACCTGCAGCACGACGTCGCAAATGGCAGCAGTGTCGAAGCCGTCCACATTCATGGCCTGCAGCGTCCTCTTCCGCCGTGCGTGAACCGCCGCTCTCATCCTCCCCTCGCTCCTCTCCATTTGACACCCGTTGAGGATGGTATTCACGGCCGCTGCCACCGTCGTCCTCTCTGCTGCGCTTAGTGTTTCACGGCCCGCCTCCCCGTTCTTGTTTATGGCCGAAACTGGTACTGTCGACATGGACGTCGCCAAGTACAAAAGACTCCAGGAGCGTCGGGGCGCACTACAGCGATGGTGCGAGTGACGACCGGAGTGCACGGCGTAGACGTCGACGACGAAGGTGTGCCTGCGAAGACGACAACGATGGCGATCGTGTGACGACGTGTCTGCTGCTTCAGATGTGCACATGTACGTTCGGTGTGCCCGCCGACACTCAGCCGCCACCCCGTACCCAAACGCTTTCGCCGAGGAACGTTGCTGCCGTCAGCTGCAAGGGATGCCCACGCCGCTGTCACTCACTTGCCGAAATTCGAATCTGGGACTGCGCGCCTTTTCCAATGCCCTGTTTTTTGAACTTACGCCGCCGACTTTCGAATTTGCAACGCCCACCCGAGCTGGACCAACAACGTCGGCACGGACACACCTCGCTGGACCAACCTCGCCCCCTGCCCCCACATCCGCTTGTCGACATATGAAACTGGCCGCGGAAGCCCCGAGGAATCGTCCTCGGGGAACCATTCCGAGGATGAGTGGAACGACGGTGCGAATTTCCTCGGAGGACGATGGGAAAATTTCCTCAGGCCCCGAGGACGACCCAAGGAGTGTTGGACGGGCCCCTATATAATTCCATCCCACTTTAGCGATGAACTGTGTTCTGCTGACATCCCCGGTACAGAGATAAGTTTCTGCTTTGTAAAACCTTTAGGGGGCTTCCAGACAGTGGCCACATACCAAAACATGGAGAATATAGTGAAAGGATTCACGAATCTCGGTAGTACCGGTCTAGCCCCAGAGTCCCAGAGTCCCAGTTTCCCATTGTACCATAGTCCCATCCGGTAGGTCCTTCAGGTGATGTTGTAGAGGCCCGTAGTTTAGTTTAAGGTCGTAGGAAAGTCGACAGTTATTTTTAGGTTCATAGGCCCGTACAGTTCAGTGGGCAGTACCCCGAAGTCTGACTGCCTGAACCATTGTCAGTCGCAGCTTATTTCGGGAGGCTGTTACTTTTGGATGCCGGACGACGACCGCGGCTACAGGGAAGTGGGTTGGGAAAGTTGAAGCTGCAGTCAATACTGGAGTCCAGCAGCACTCAATGTGGGATTGGGCGTCAACACTTCATGTTTCGTGATCAATGCGGAAGCACTGCTGCGGGGTCTTGTGCGTTGATGGGGCGACTGAGTGGAAGTGAGCATTATAGTGCTAGGGTAGTCGATGACGCTTGGCGCCATAGCGGCTTGAGAGTGCGGGGGAGAGGTAGGAGCAAGAGTGGAAGGCATTCTGAGAGGAACGGGAGAGCGACTGTGAGTAGCACTAGTATCCAAGAGCGAATATATGCGTGAGGCTTACCTGCATTGTGTGTGACGGCCATAGCTGCCTGTAAGAAAAGACCATTTTGTTACTGGTTGCGATTGCCGAGACTGTTTTCGATGCATCTCCATGTGTTATGTGACTTTGCTTGTGGAAAACTCATGTGATTGTGTGGATGCATGGTGGGCATTGGTGGTCCTACTCCAATGGAGATAATTACCACAATGATCTACCTGTTATGGGCGTACCTTCTACCAAACGGCAAGGTCCAGATTGCAAATTTGCACACCCACCTGACAGGGGCATAACACAAAGATTTCGGCCCAAAAGGGCATTCCGCTCTACCCACATCTTTCAGGGGCATTTTGGCATACATCTCAAGCTATGGGGGTATTTTGCAAATTATCCCTTTTTGCATTCAGTTGATTTATTGCTCTTCCAAAAAGCCATTTGATCTCTGGTGCCATGTGCACTAACCATAACTCCCAAGAATCTTAAAGGCTCCTCAACATCCATCCATTGCGCATACCCTCATGCTCGTGCATCATGGTTGGCGAGGGAGTAACCCTCGCCGTTCACCATCCAGCTCTCTATCCATCCGTCTTTTTCCCATTAATCTTCATTTCTGATACTGGTTGGAAGGCTTGCATTGCGCATGTCGGAGGAGTGATATTCTCTTGTGCGTCAGAAGTCCATCGCCGTTTTCTCTTGCGAATCCTCAGTTATTAGCCCTATGCGAGCAGAGCAACAGTAGTTGGTGGCCCATTCACTGCATGGATGGCCTTCAAATAAAATCTGACCGACACTTAGCAAACCTCTTACTCAGTGTATGACTTCGTCTGTTGGCACAGACAGTGACCGATACTTCTACCGCAGCTCCTGTCAGCAGCAGAACTTCTTTCATGCAGCTTAAGCAAGGGCCTTTTGTCCAAAACGAACAGCAGAGACTTACTCCGGAGATGAACAAGGAGAGGAGGAAGACAATTATTGGTTCGACATCTATCTCGTCACGTATGTGGATGGCAAGTCTTTTCATCCTGCTCTTCACTGGAAGGTTGATGGATGTGAATTCCGAGCCAGATAGCAGGGAGCGGTCAACTTTGGAAGGACTCAAAGAGCGGAAGCTCAATGCAGAGTACGGCGTGCTGAACGTTACTGACCGAATCCTTCTCAGAGTTCTTGGGGATGTGCTTGTGTCTACAACCAATAGGTCTGCTGACACTAAGTATTGCATCACAGCCGTTGATCTCTCTCCGGATATGAAAACAGTCTACTATGTGGAAAACGCTGCAACAATGACCAACACATCAGATTCCTCTAACAAGACAGTAGCAGTTTGGAAGGCAGAATGGGTGGAGGCTCTTCAATCCTACACTTCTTCCCATTTGGCTGGGGGCTGGCCAGTACCTAATAAAGACCCTACTAAGCCTCTAGAAGACTCAGATGTGTCAGGCCTTTTGGTGCTTGATGGTGGTTATCTACTGGTTTCGCAAAAGCACAATGATCGGATCGAGAAGTTGGAAGTCACAACGGGGAAGAGCGTGGACAAATGGGCCCTGGATGCGCCCTTAGGCCTGGCAAAGCACCCAGCCCAGGATGCCTTCTTTGCATCCTCAGGTGATCGCATCAACAAAATATCTTTGACAGTGCCATCATTCTGGGTTAGGATAGATGTTGTCGCAGGTCCCGAAACCAACATATCAAAGACGGGCTACGTGGACAGTGACGTTTCAACAGAGGTCAGATTTAGTGATCCACTGATCGGACCTCAATCTATTTCTCTTGACAGCAGAAATTTGTATGTTCTTGATTTTTGGAGCAATGTAGTGCGGCGTGTGAGTATTACCTCAAGGGCTACCAAAACAATTGCCGGAGGCATGTATACCATGTTTGGCCTGGAAGGGGGATTCAATAGATCAAGTCAGTGTATTGTGACTGGGAATGGTTGCAACCTGTTTGTCACCGGCCGTGGAAGACTCCATTGGCTGCCTCTTGACGACCCAGACGGCAACGTATTGAGCATCAAGATAGTTGCAGAACTGGTGCAGTCTGATGGTTCCAGTGGAAGCCTCATGGCTATGGCCCTCACCACAGATGATCGTTACTTGTTTGTTGGGACAGGGGATGGCCGAATTATGAAACTGGAGATGAATGTCTCTGCCTTGCACCAGTGTGGCTTGCCGCCTCTGCCTCCTGTTGATTCCAGGAAGAAACCAACCGGTACGAATATGTCACGAGTCATGATCTTTGTGGGCGTGGCACTGGGGTGTGCCATTGTACTCTTGGGTGCAGGCGTATGTGCAATGCATGCCATCCGCGGGTTCAAACACGTTGGAAACAGCGTCATTCCGCCACCCGATACAAAAATCACAGAGTCCTCGACAAGGAGCGGGACCGGGACCGGTATCTCTGCGAGCCTTCCATCGAGTTTCGATCCACTTCGCCCAACAGTCGTCCAGGAGATCCCACTCTCTGTTATACAAATGGCCATCAGAAATGGTGTTTGCCTGGATGGGAAGAGTGGTGCTTACGGTGACGTGTACAGAGCATCGTTGATGGTGGGCCAGAAAATGGTGGATGTGGCCATCAAGGTCATGAAAGGCGAGTTCAACGAGATGAAGCACAAGCAATTCCGCGCGGAGGTGAACACACTGAGCAGTGTGCGGCACAGGCATCTGTGCAAGCTGCTCGGTTTCTGCACCGAAGAGAAGAAGTTCATCCTCGTGTACCCATTCATCGCAGGGGGTTCACTGTTTTACGATCGACTGCACAAGTGCAAATCCACAACGGGGAACGTGTCGGAAGAATGTGAGACCATGGATTTGATCGGCAGCTGTAATTTGCCGTTGACATGGACAGAAAGAATGTCGATCGCAAGACAGATAGCAACCTGCTTACGTTACCTGCATCATGAGGTGGACCACCCGATTCTTCATCGTGATGTGAAAAGCCGCAACGTGCTTGTTGAAGGGGAGGGGAAAGTACTGCGCGCATACTTGGCTGACTTTGGGCTAGCGAGGCCAGGGAGTTGTGGCCATTCCGACGGAACCCCTTCTTCGGGTCAAACGACTGTGCCGACGTTGACTAGGTCAGGCACTCCAGGTTACATGCCACCGGAATACGTTTATGAGTCAAAACTGACGATGTCGAGCGATGTCTTTGCGTTTGGGGTTGTGCTTCTGGAGCTTGTCACTGGAATGCGCGCAGTTATGAAGATGAATGAAGCCGATTCCATACCCCTCTACTTGCTGGCCAGGCAGAGGGAACTCGCCTTGCGTTGCACAGAGGACTTTCCATCTCAAAGGCCTGACATGGGTCAGGTAGTGCAGGAGATTGACACAATCAAGCGAACAAATTGTGCATCAGGGGGGCTAAAAGCTCTCTCGGGGCACACCTTTTTGCATCCCCTTGATGGGCCTTCTCCTAGGTGATTTTTGGGAGGTGATAGTGGTTGTTGTTGCTTTTCCTCCGTTAGCACATGCTGGGATGGGTCTTCTACTCAGTGATTCATAGAGCTGCCATGGTGATAGAGCATAGTTGTCTTTGCTTTCGTCCCACATGGTCCCACGAGCTGTGATGGCTGCTGTGCGGCGAACCATATGGGAAAGAGGGGTTCTCTTTGTGGGTAGAGATTGGTATCGGCTGTCGTATACGTCTTACAGCCTCTATGCGATGAGATGACAAAATGGCATTTTGTGTGTGATAACATGGCTTATCATCTGTCCCATAGAGAACAGACTTGCTGTGGGCGATGTGTCAATGGTACGACATGATATGGAACTGCACGGCAAGACAAATGGTAGCTGCTGGCTGTGCACTCATTCTCATTGCAAGATGCATAACTCCACCCCTGTCGTGAGTAGTGAGCACAAGAGAAAAGTAGCACGTGGTGGCACATGGCGGTGGTGGTAGTGTGGTGTGCTCGGCACAAGAGAAATGGCTGGTGCCACTGTTAGTAGTTGCAGCTGACAAGATCAGTGTGTTGGCACATGGCGGGTGCGTGGGTGATCACTTTTGGACTCGTGGTATTTTTCTGATATTTTTCAAAATTTTGGCTGTTTCAATCGTGATATCTTAAGTGTGACCACTTGGCAGAATAAGGAGAAGATTGGTGTTGAGGCCACGAATGTAAACATTAGCATAGCCAGCATGTCTGAACAATCATTGATTTTATAGAGAATTCATATTTGCCGGAGAAGAGGGAGGGGAAGGGATCTCCATTCAGCCTGCGGAACTTAGAGTGAAGTTGTGAAATCAGTTAAGATATTGTTTTGTTGCGTTTTTTCTTGGCTAGTTCGGAAAAGGTAAATTTAGTTAATTAAACTTAATTTACTAATTTTAAAATTTTATGCTGTTAGCCTGTTATCAGTTTCGTGTTGTTGTTTTTTCCTTCTTTGTTTCTTGAACTTTCTTGAAAGAAAAGGGGATGCACTTGGGGTACTGCACCATGGGGTTGACTGGCTCAGTTAATTCTGAGCTGTTTGTGAGTTTATTTTCAAGTTCCGATTTCTGGTTTCAGTTCTAAGTCCCATTCTTGGTTGAATACTTGCTCTGTTGGGACTGTGGTACCTGTGGGAGGTACCATTTTCTGGTTTCAGTTCTAAGTTCTGTTCTTGATTGAATGATGGTTCTTCTGGGACTCTGGGACTCTGGTACACATGGGAGGTACCAATTTCTCGTTTCACGTCTAAGTGGCATTCTTGAATGAATACTGCTTCTGCTGGGTCTGTGGTACCTGTGGGAGGTACCAATTTGTGGTGGCAGTTCTGAGTTTCATTTTTAATAATGGCTCTGCTGGGACTCCGGTAGCTGTGGGGGGTACCAATTTTTGGTTTCAGTTCTAAGTTCCATTCTTGATTTCATAGTGGTTCTTCTGGGACTCTGGTACCTGTAGGAGGTACCAATTTCTGGTTTCAGTTCTAAGTTCCGTTCTTGATCGCGTAGTGGTTCTGCTGGGACTCTGGCACCTGTGGGAGGTATAACAATTATGTATTTACTATTTCGCTCATTGTAGCCTCATACTGCACCTTTTCTCATTGGTTTCAATGTTTTCACATTAACTGGGTTAGAGTTAGTCGTTGATGTGTACTACAAGCTTATGTTTTCATTTTCAATATTTCTACTAATGTAACGACCAATCAAAACACAGACTTAGACACACAGCTGATTTCTGAGCTCTGCCAATGGAATGGATGCCTTGCTGAGATTCCCGCTTTCTGCGGAGTTTTTCAAGAATGTGTGTGTGCGTGCTTGCTGGTCTGCGTGCCTGTCTGGGTGCTTGTCGGCTCGAGTGTGTGTTACCCGCAAGGGCACTTGTTGTTTGGGAGGCCCTGCAGGGCGGGTACTTACCTGTGGCCTTGACTTTGAGGGTTGCAGCGGGGAAAACACTCTAGTGGCGGGAGTAGGCCCACGGCACTTACAGCAGCGGGAAAAACACTCAAGTAGCAGGTAGCAGTAGATGTGCCGGGCACTTGAGGCCGAGCAGACGAAGGCAAAAGTTGGCATTTTCAGGTCCAGTAGTTGTAGGCTAGGTCTAGGCGGGTACCAGTCCAAGTAGTCTAAGTCTTAGGCCTGTGCAGACAATATCAGAGCCTGGAATGATGTTTCCCTCCAAAATGGAGGAGGTGCCGTTTGCTTGGAGGCCGCACGGCCTGGAAGTCACCGCCCAAGAGGCAAGTTGGCCGCTATGTCTTCACGGCTGAGCAAAGAGCTCAGCCTCATTTTTGCGGTGTGCAAGTTTGGCGACACACTGCTGGAGCGCTGGAGGAGCAGCGCTGGTGTGCTGCGGTGTGGGGAAGAAGGGCGCCCAGATCCCCACCTCCGCTATGGTGGGGGAGCCCCGGTAGGAGGAGGAGGAGGAAGCGAAGAGGAGCGCCAGGGGTATTTACCTGGCTATGGTGGACGCCGTCTTCATCTCCTTGGCCCCAGTTGGAGCAGAGCTGCACCACGAAGCTTCGAGGCAGAGTCAAGCATGGCGTCCTGAGAGGAAGCAGCCATAGCTGCTTTGTGTTGTCTTTTGCACATAGGGGCAAGGCCCTAGTAAGGCTGAGCTCTTCATGCCTGAGTGAAGAGCTCAGCCTCATTTTTGCCGTGTGCAAGTCTGGCGACACACTGCTGGAGCACTGGAGGAGCAGCGCTGGTGTGCTGCGCTGTCGGGAAGAAGGGTGCCCAGCTCCCCACCTCGGCTATGGTGGAGGAGATCGGGTAGGAGGAGGAGGAGGAAGGGGAGAGGAGCGTCAGCGGTACTTACCTGGCTATGGTGGATGCCGTCTTCATCACCTTGGTGGGCGCTGCATCTGGAAGGCCCCAGTTGGCGTAGAGCTACACCAAGAAGCTTCAAGGCAGAGTCAGGCATGGCGGCCTGAGAGGAAGAAGCCATAGCTTCTTTGTGTTGTCTTTTGCACATCGGGGCAAGGCCCTAGTAGTCCGCCATAGCCTCGGCCTTCGTGAAGAGGAAGGAGAAGGTGGCCATGGCTATGGTGGACCTCATGTTTTGCGTGCAGTGGAAGAGGGACTCGGACATTCATTCTGGTTCGACCATTCATCACTATTATAGTATTATTAATATTTATTGTGGAATAAGAGGGGATGAGATAAGGAGTAGTAGTTTGGTTGGCGAGGAGGAGGAGGATTATCATTGGTCTTTTGCTGCTGTACATCTTCTTCTTCTTCTTTCTTTCTTCTTCTTCTAACCCCTCTCTCCCCTCTCAAGTTCATTCATTTAGTTTGCAATTGGTTGGCATTGTGCTTTCATGCTAATTTGTACTCCGGAATTGGCCAGGATCGTAACACTAATTTTTAGTTCAAAATTTTAATATGTTTCTGATTTTCTAATAATACAAGGCTTTGAATGCCTTTTCTTCTGTAATAATGTAATTATAGTTCATGTTCCCTATATCAAATCAAGCAAACCTTTCATTATTTCATAAAATGACGAGTTTTCACTGCATTTTGAAGAACTGGTCATTAGGTACAGAATACCCAGTCGTGGTGTTGTGGCGTTCTGGTGTTTTCTTTCTTTTTTTTGTTTTTTGTTTTTATAATTCCATGACTGAACTCCATGCGCATCTCCCGCTCTTTCTTTTCTTTTCTTTTTCTTTTCTTTTTTTCGAATCCAGCCTTCTCCAGCACCAGACCATCCCTTCCTATACGAGTCAAGCCCCTAATTCGGCTCTCAGGCAACAGGACAACACTTCTCAGTTTTTTCCCTCCTTTTTTTCTGTAGATTCTTGGACTTTGTCATAGGTGGTTGTGATAAGGTAAAAAGGAGAAGAAAAGGAGAAAAAACTTCAAAAAAGGATAAAAGAAGGAGAACAACAGGAGACCTAAAGGAGAAAACAAGGAGAAAAACAGGAGAACAAAAGGAGTGCAAGGAATATGAGCGAGAGCGATATACAGAAAACCAAGTTGCAAAATCACGCAGAAGTCCAGATAGTCATGTAACAAGCAGAGAGCTCAAACGCACCAAGGTTCCATTTAAATAAGAGCAATACAATGAACTTGTGAGCCAATGTTCAAGCCCTCAGGCCACACCAACGCAGTATTCAATGTCGCCCCTACTGTCTTGCGCTCAGCACCCAGCCTACTCTACTCATCCTACCTATCCTATCTATGTTCTTGCAACAGGCTCACTTCGACTTCGAAGACCAATGTACATGACGTCAACACCAATGCCAACCTCCCACATACACCAGGTACGTACTCTCGACTCCTCTCATCACCGTTGTCCACCCACACCTGCGCCTCCTACCTAAAAGACCACCGCCGCTCATCACCCCGTCGTGCCCTGCAGCCTGGCGCGAGAACCGGTTAATGGCAGGCCAAAAATTCAGCGAATTTTGGTGAAATTTTCACCGAAACAGTCGAAACTGCCATATTTCCCTGAACTTTTACTTTTTTCTTGTTTTTTTTTTTTTTTGGTCTGATATGTATGTGCTTTAGGGTGTATCTGTATTCAGTTTCGCCGTATTTGGGCCAGTAACGAAAAAGTTGGCCAAAACATTGGACTCGAAGAAAGGTTCGGCGAACGCCGAAAGCTACTCTGAATAGGGTTTCATAGTGCTCTTGAGTTTTTTTTTTTTGTTTTTTTTTTGCCTGTTCGTTTTGTGTTTGTATTATGACCCTGCATAAAACGCCGAATTTTGGGCCTTCCATTAACCGCTACGCAAACGACACCTGTGCTCAATCGCAGCAGCTTGTCCGCATTGCCTGCCTAGGCCAGAATGCCCTGGTCTTGCTGGCCTCCTCCCTATATGGGAGATGTTGCTGCTGCTGGACTGTCTTGGCCTGGCCGTGGAAGTTTCCAGTAGCTTCTGGTCGGGCCCCAGTGTTTGCGCCCAGGCCCATGTCTACAGTTGAGGGCCTGGGCCTTTTCCAGTTCGGTACACCCAGGATTTTCCGGGCACTGAATATTTGCTGTGTTCACATTGGCCCGCGGGGTAGATGTGACGACAATGCTGCATTCTCATTGGGCGGTGGCTACTTCCCGATGTGTCGGGCTGACGCTGCGTGTGCCCCTG